CAGTCTCACTGCACTGGCCGGACATCTCCCCTCCCCCCCTTTTTAAAAGGCCCTTCTAATTACCACAGATAAAAAAATGACAGGCTGCAAACAAATCATCCAGTATTATTTTTATCTCCCAGTAGGCCTGTGGGCACCCATAAGCATTTTCAGAAAAAGATGGGTAGCTGCAATCGAATTCTTTATTTTTTCTATCCAGAAAAAAGAAGTTTCCCAAAGGAGTAGAAAAGTTATATCCCAGCAGTTTTGCCTTCTGATGGTTTGCTTTTTGACTGGTTGTGCCTACCCTGGCAGTCACTGTGTGACAGTGTGCAATACAGTATTCTACATGTTTGGATGACTTTGGGCCAGGATAACTACCGTATTTTACGGCGTATAAGACGACTTTCTAAACCCTGAAAATCTTCTCAAAAGTCGGGGGTTGTCTTATACGCCCAGTCGTCTTACACACCGGAAAATACGGGTATTCTATTTTATTCCTTTTAAGCTGAGGACGCGATGGGGGCGGCGGCCGGGAGCCACTGCCTCCCGTCCTGCTCCCCCTCCCTGGATGCGATGGGGGCGGCGGTCGGGAGCTGTTGCCTCCCGTCCTGCTCCCCGTCCCCGCCCGTTCAGCTGAGGACGCGATGGGGGCGGTGGCCGGGAGCCGCTGCCTCCCGTCCTGCTCCCCCTCCCCATTCGGCTGAGTATGCGGACGCCCATTCGGCTGAGGACGCGGCGGCCAGGCTGGGGGCGGCGTGGACTCCCGACGATGCTGCAGTGGCCGCTGCCGTGCCACTGCTGCCGCCGCCACTGGAGCTGCTGCCTCCCGTCCTGCTCCCCCTCCCCACCCGTTCGGCGCCGTCTGCCTTTCATTCTCTCTCTCTCCTAACCTGGAGGGAGAGGGAGAGAGAAAAAGAGAGAAAGAGAGAAAGAGGAAAGAAAGAGAAGAGAAAGAGGAAAGAGAAAGAGAAGAGAGAGAGAGAGAAAGAGGAAAGAGAGAGAGGAAAGAGAAAGAGGAAAGAAAGAGAAGAGAAAGAGAGAAAGAGAGAGGAAAGGGAAAGAGAAAGAGAGGAAAGAGAAAGTTAGAGGGAAAAAAAGGAAGAGAAAGAGACAGAGTAAGAGAGGAAAGAGAGAGAATCAATCTCCTTTCTCTCTTTCTCTTTCTCTTCTCTCCTTTCTCTCTTTCTCCTTTCTCTTTCTCTCCTTTCTCTCTCTTTCTCTTCTCTCTCCTTTCTCTTTCTCTATTTCTCCCTCTCCTTTCTCTCTCCCCCTCTCCTTTCTCTTTTTCTCCTTTCCCTCTCTTCCTCTCCTTTCTCTCTCTCTTTCTCTCCTTTCAGAGAAAGAAAGAGAGGGGGAGAGGAAAGAGAAAAAAGATTGAGGAAAGAGAGAGGAAAGAGAGAAAGGAAAGAGAAGAGAAAGAGAGGAAAGAGAAAGAGAGGAAAGAGAGGAAAGAGAAAGAGAGGAAAGAGAAAGAGGAAAGAGGAAAGAGAGAGAGACAGAGAAAGAGAGAGGAAAGAGAGAGAGAGAGAAAGTTAGAGGAAAGAGAGAAAGAGGAAAGAGAAAGAGAGAGGAAAGAAAGGAAAGAGAGAGAGAGGAAAGAGAGACAGAGAGAGAGAGACCCTTTTGACATCTAAAATAAAGATAACACTGCATATATCCTTTTTTACCTTTATTTTATGTATACACACACACACAAACATACACACACACACACACACACACATATCATAAAGGTAAAAAAGGATATATGCAGTCTTATCTTCATTTTAGATATCAAAAGGGTTTTGCGGCTCCCAGTGTTTTGTTTTCGGTGGGAAACGTGTCCAAGTGGCTCTTTGAGTGTTTTGGGTTGCCTACCCCTGATATAGCCCAAACTCTATATTTTAACTGAAAAAGTTGGGGGTCATCTTATACGCCCAGTCGTCTTATATGCCGGAAAATACGGTAGATGGCCTAGAACAATAAGATCGTTATAAGACCAAATGTAGAAAGAGAAAAAAAAAGCCGTACATTTTAAGTTGAACCTGAATTTCTTAATGGGAAATAACAGAATAACAGACTTGGAAGGGACTTCTATTCCCTCATCTTAACCATTTATGAAGATGTTGAAGAGTATTGGGCCTAAGACATAATTGCCTTTCAGGGAAGAATTGCTCTTTACCAGACAAACAACTGCATGTAGAATATTGGTCTGAATAGGAAGCTTCTGCAGCAAAGATACGATATATGTGCATCTTGATGCACATTTGAGATATTCAATTTTATGATATGATTTTTAATTTTTATTGTAATTGTTTTGTGGAATTCCTTGCAAATTCCAAAATAGCCAATTTTAGCTGGATTCACACACTCTAAAGAATATTTTCTTAAGATATTTAAACCCATGCATACATCTCACAGTCCTTTTTTGGTATAAATTTTATTAAAAGTTTTGAAAAGAAGATAAAAATGAACAAAAATGAATACAAAGTAAAGAAATAAATGTAAGGAAAAAAGAGGAAGAAAGGGAAAGACAAAAGTGCAAAAATAAAATATTAGAAATAGAAAGAAAAAGCTTCTGATATCCTTTGTAGCAAATACAAGAATGATTACAAAATTATCTCTTACTCTATGGTTAAGGCACTCACGCTATCCAGGATTCTCATAATTTATTAGCCTCAGTTGTCAGAGTCTTGCAATATTACATTTCCTTGTGCCAGCAAATGTGTATTTGTGATGGATATGTTCAGTGGTGGGATTCAAATATATGTTATGGTTTCTTACTTGTATGTAATGGTTGAAATTTGGTTAAGCTTTCTTTATTTTTGTATGTCGTTGTTGATAGATGCTCAGAGTTGTATTATATAAAATATTTGTATTTTAAATAAATAAATACTCAAGTACATTTCTCTGAAAAAATGTTGAACAATAATCTGCCTTTCAAATGGGTGCCTACAAACTCCTAGCAAAGCCAGCCAATGAACAAGGTTGCAGGGTTTTAAGGAAACCACAAATTTTCTTGTGGCTTCAAATATGCTGCAGCCTTGCCAGAAATATATTAGTTTGGCTCTTACACACTGCTGACATCATGGTAGGTGGTTCATAGCTGGTTTCAAACTGATGCATTCTTTTTGGGCAAACACTTAGAATTTATTCTTCCAGTAAAGCAACTCACATGGCTCCTACTGTGTTGGAATTATTATATATATTAATTTGTGAATAAAATTGTGTTCCAAAGACAACTAATTTTAATTGTGGAAGACTTTTTCAAAATAAAGTTAAGTTGATAAGGTACAATAGCTTTTATTCATAATTTTACAGAAAAAGTAAAAATTAAGACACCATCCTGCTATGTAATGGAAAATCAGTTTTCCTTTTGAAATTTCAGCTTTTTTAGAGGTGAGAAAAGTAAGGTCCTACTCTTAGGCAGGAAAAAACAAATGCACATGTACAGAATAGAAAGTACCAGGCCTAACAATAGTGCCTGTGAGTGGAATCTAGGTGTCCTTGTGAACCACCACTTAACTATGAGCCAGCAGTGTGTTGCAACTGCCAAAAAAGCCAATGCAGTCCTATGCTGCATCAAGAAAGGGATAGCATCAAGATGACGATCAAGATCACAAGAAATGATAATACCTGTCATGGCCCCATTATATCCCAGTTTGGAGGAGTTGGAACCGGGACCATCCGATGGGGATGGCATGTCTCCCTTGGAATGTTTGGAGAGGCCAGGGGCTGAGGACGATGCTGTCCCAGGCCCTTCAGGCATTGGGTGAAGTTTGCCCTCAACAGACAAGGGGGAGGATTGGCTGCAGACAAGCAGTGGTGCTGAGAGGCAACAGATCCCCTCTGATGAGGAACAGCTGCCTCCCCCACTTTAACTCAAGGGCATGGAGAGTAGAGCAGAGGCAAGCTCAGAGGAGGTCTGTGACGTTGCTCGGGAAAAGGTCGCCCCGCCACTCCTCACAAGGAACACCTAGTGTGGGATGACTTAAACAGAAGCTGAGGGGGGGGAAGAGATCATCTTTGTCAGGAACAATTGTTTGCTTTGGCATATACTCCCCCAGCTTTGGAAAAAACTCAGCCTTGACTTCTGTTTCTGCCTGTGCCTTGCCTTTGTCTTGCAGGGTGCCTTTTGCCTTGTGGATTTGCCTTACCCTGTAGACTTGCCTTACTCCTTGGACCTTGCCCTGTGAGTTTGCACCTTGTCTTTGGACTTTCTCTCTGCCTTTGCAAATTGGTTTTGGTGCTTACTGGCTTTTGTTTGGGGGACTATGGGTGGCTGCCTTCAGGGAAGTGTGGAGTGGAGCCTTACCAGTCATTGTAGGACCGTTTGTTGTGAACTTTAACAGAGCAATAAAGAACTTTATCATAGCCTGTCTCTGCCTAGGCAACCTGGGTCATAACAATACCACTCTATACTGCACTATTAAGACCATGCTTGAAATACTGCATCCAGTTCTAGTCACCATGATACAAAACAATGCTATTGCCCTGGAAGAGTGCAGAGAGGAGTAACAATATGATGAATAGCTAAAGAGATTAAGTATGTTTAGGCTAATGAAGAGGACTCACGGTGACATGATAGCAATCTTCCAATGGTGCCATCCAGTTGCCTTTTGGAAAAGCACTTTTGGGACAACCATGACCTGGACTGAGAATCTCCACAGACAGTCTTCCAATATTTGAGGGGCTGTCACAGGGAAGAGGGATCTATTTATTCTCCAAAGCACCTGAGGGCAGGAAAAGTGCTTCCTTCACTTTGTGTAAACAATGGCCGGCAGTCACCCTTTACCTACATTAATATCAAGATTTGTGAAACCACTGATACCTTGGAAGACACTGATGTTCTTGCCAAGCAATGTGGAGGAGCATCCACTATTCAATGAGTCAGGAATTTGGAACTCCAAGCAACCAGACTTGATAGGCAAACTGTCTTTCAAAATATCTTACAGAAGTTAAATGAATGAAAGAAGCAGACATTATTTATAAGAAATTTATTGAACAATCATTTGCAAGAAAAAAATGAGAAGATTGTATTCTCTTATAAAGCAAATTAAGAACACTACATAGAGAATAAAATTGAATTCTGGTGGTAAATAATCATACATCTCATAGGAAACTGAATTTTCCCATTTTTTGGCAAATATATGACTTTAAATACATAACTGCAGCTAACATTGCAAGCAAAATCTATCAAAAAACAGATAAGACACAAGAAAGGAAATGATGCATTATCAGATGTTCATTCGCTCCCTGTATTTGCAATGCAAAATCATCATTAGTCAGATAATCCATTTAGAATACAGAAAAGTCTCCTAACCCTTTGGCACGCATGTCATGATGTTCTCTAAGTCTGAAGCATTGGGGCATCAACCCCTTGGATAAGGAACCATTAAATCCAATGCCCTGATGTGGCTAAACAATATAATATCTAACACATGCAAGAGATGTCCTGTATACTGTTCTTCCTTAACCATTACTGTCTCCTGGGACTTGCATGCAAAGAGGAGGGAAACCCCTTGCTGCACTATTTACTCATACTACAGAATGCAGAATTGTGAACCTAAAATGGTCTGATGGCAAAAATGGATTGTACAGTCCTAAAGTGGCAGTGGGGGACAATGACAATGAAGTCTTTGTTATTCTTGGATCCAACTTAATCTCTTCTCCAGCACTTCAAACTGCAGGTGTTAAAGTTAACTTCTGCCCCCATTCTTCAGCCTGTTGAATCCCACTATCTTCCTCTGAAACTGACAACATATCAATTTTTTAGTGTTAGTGGCATCATTAGGTCCGATTATTGCTTCTACACTGTGCTCATGACAAGGTCAGGCTTTTAGCATGCTTCTGGGACAAACTACATAACCAAATCAAAGAACTGTCCTCATTTTTCCTTTAGAGTGTTGAGGAAAGTTTGGAGAATGTTATTACTGTGTTGCTCATTCCTCAATAATTGGCACCTTTATTTACGTATGCATGACAACTGGGTGCTAAAAGCACTGCCAACAGAAACTGCCCCCCATATGTTATCTAGCAATAGAATGTGCATACAGCAAGACTATAACACTATCCAGGAATAAGAGTGGAGTTAAGCTAGATAGGAGTTGTACCGCTGGCTGATATTGCTAAGTCTTCAGCTTCTATTATTAGCCTATCCTAAAATCCTGAAAAACTAAACTGTACTACTGTTCAGAGATGAACTGGAATCACTGTCCATGCAGCAAGTGAGCTGGATCATTGACAATTCTTGATCTGCTTACCCATGGGACTTCGGAGGTTACATTCACTGGGAGAGACTCTCAAAATATGAGAAACAGTAACACAAACTCTCATTAATTCCCTTGTTTACACTTGCCAGCTCTCAACCTAATGGAAAGAAGCGAGGGTGTGGGTGAACCAGAGATGCCACCAGTGCCTCTCTCTCTGAGTCACAGTATCTAATGCAGAAGTTAGCAAAACTGCTGTCTGAATTTTAGAATAGTCTCCGCCTGGGTAGTGAAGTCTTGTAAAGAGACTTGCCCCTGGCCTCAATATAGAAGATTCGCATTTCTTTGCCATCAATCTCAAAGTAGGCAAAGCCTCCTTGGGAAGACGCCTGCCCATAGAAGAAGCGTAGGTAGCCATTTGGGACTTTATGGAGGTGTTGCTTGGAGTCATCCATGAAGTTTCCTGCTCCACTTAAGACATGGCCTATGCCACCTTTGTCCAGTAGGTACTATTTAATTGGAGAAAGAAAAAGAAAAAGAAGAAGAAACAACAGATTTAGATCAGGACCGCATCACACCATTTGGGGGCCTCTTTGTCCATTATGCTTTAATTGCACATTAACACTCCTATGGAGAAACATTAATTAGATTTCTATTCATAATACAGAATAACAGAGTTAGAAGGGACCTTGGAGATCACCTCATCCAACTATCTGTCCAAGGACCTATATCGGACAAATAGCTGTCCAGTCTCTTCTTAAAAACCTCCTGTGATGGAGCATTCACAACTTCTGGAGGCAAGCCATTCCACTGGTTAATTGCTTGATTTCTAGCTCAGTCTTGTAGAATAAGCAAGGTCATTGCTATAATCACAGCAATGGAAAAAAAATATTAGATGTTCCAGCCAAAATAAACCTGGAGAACAATTGCTGTATTTAATGCTCAGAATATGCTAGATGACACAGGCAATGAAATGCATGCCTGTGCTAAAAGGGCTTTCAGTTTGTGTGAGGTGAAAAAAAGAGAATGGATTTGGGGATAGATCCTTAGGAAACACACATAGGACAGCTAAGCCCATTCAAGAAAAGCTTTCATACAGGAGAAACCCAATGAGAACTTTCAAGAAACCAAAAGCTGGCTAGAGAGAAGGCAAGAATAGGTGCAACATAGAGTTCAGTACAAACACGACAGGATCAAAGGTAAGGCAAGGCAAAAGAACACTGCCTAGGCTTTTCTCACTCAATCCACAATGAAAGCAGAAAGGTTATGCTTGAGATTGTTATAAAAAATAAACTGTAAAAAAGCAATAAAGACTGCAGACTGGAAAGCAGATCAGAAAAACTGCAAATATGCATGAAGCCTATGAAGAACTCATTTTACATTTATTGCCATAAACCATTTACAGTCTTGATCATCTCCAGCAATTATAAAGGAGCCTATTGTCCTTCCCATTTTATAGGTTAAAAATAAAGACTGACAGGCAGATTTCTTGACAGACCTCAGACTTCTCTCTTTCATCAGTTGGGTTCCCATTCCAGGAAGCATTCAATAGCACACTCAAGCCAGTAACCTTCTAAATGTTCTGTGCTACAGCCACAACCACCTCAGCCAAGATGGTCAATGGGGGTAGTGGAAGAAACATCTAGAGGGTTGTAGTTTCCCTCCCTATAGAGGACAGCAGAACTCAGTGATATGAAGTTTCTTCTCTTACCTGCAGGTTGTGATCATGGCCACACAGGTAGGCAGTGGCCTTGTGTTTCAATAGCAGTGGCTGAAGCTGCTTGACCAAGCATTCAGTGGGGCCGTGCTTTCCCACAGACCATACTGGGTAGTGCCCTGCCACCAGCAAGTAGTCATCCTGGGAACTGGCCATCTGTTTGCGGAGCCAAGACAACTGGCTACGGGCCATGCCTGCATTCTGAGGACGTAAGGGCTGCTCGCTTTGGAAGTCATCTGAATTACCGCAGATGGTCACCGTGTCTATCATGAGGATGGCAAGAGTAGTATTGCTGCCAGGCACCTTGAACCTCAGCTTGTAGTAATATTTAGGGAAATGCCTGCATAAAAAAGGTTGGAGGAAGAAGCTTTAGAGGAAAGCAAGTGAACATGCTTCTACTTCAGAAGAGCATTTCCAAGGTACTTCAAGATCTGCAAAAGGCACATGTTCTAGATAACTTTTTTTAAAAAGAATATCTCCATCCCAACAGGAATATCATAGCAAATGCCTAAACAAACTGGCAGCTTTGGGTCCTTGAACCAAAACTTTATTTACAAATGTAATTTGGAGAAGCAAGGAAAATGCTTCTTGCCCATGTGACTGAAGCACTGTGGCCAGCCAGCCCAGAGAGGTACAGAAGTTAAATCCAGGCCAACTTTCAGCCATAAAAGTAACATGGGATTCCCCAAAAACTTACTGTTTGTTTCTCAGTGTAAGGAGAAACAAGTGGTAGAAGAGGATCCCAGGAATTCAGCCTATTGGCTACTAATAATAGTACAGATGTTGGCCAGACTCCACTTTAAGTTCATTCAAAAACCAGAAAGAGCTTATGACTAATAATCTCTGCAGGAGCCACATTTTTTGTTTTAAAAAATCTGAGCATGTACATATAAATACAGGATATAAAATCACAGGAAGAATAAAATAAATGATGTCCCAGAGGTTTATGTCCACAATGTCACTTGGCAAAGAGGAACACTTTCACAGCCAGAGCATTGGAAGCCAGTTAAAAATTGTGTACTGTGATGTATGATGCAAAAACCGTGACTGATTTACGTCAAATGCATGTACCTAAGAATAGAGTTTGAATTATTACATTCATCTGTGTGCTTCCATGTTGATGCAATCTTGGTTTGCTGCACATATGTATGAGGCAAACAATTAAAAGTGTTATCACTGTTGTGGGTAGGGCAGGACACAACTGTTCAATTAGCATAGTTGTGTGTGGGGAAGGAGGGTGTTTCTGTTTAAGAAGGAAATAGGAACTCAAAGAAAGCATACAAGTCTCTGTATAACGTCTGTTCTCATACCCCAAGGATAATAACGATTATTGTATGTTATTGTAAAAGGTAATTTAAAAGAATGATTCATGCTCTTTGAGAGATAGCATAATCTGGTGGCCATTGATATTTATTGTTTGTGGGGGGAAATCCCTTTTTTTCTAATAGTAAGTGCAGTTCAACATTAGAATCAATGTCCTAGAGAAGTAGTTGCCTGCCAACAGTGATTGTGCCCAAGTGGAGGTTAGACAACCATCTGCCTGAGATGCTGTAAGAAGCTGGCTGCACCGAGTAGGATTAGCCCCGATGGCCTCTTCGAGGGTTCCATGATTTCAGTGTGAATATTCTAGCAGAGGATATTCCCTGCAACGCAATGGCACTTCTTGCACATTGTTTCTCTCCTCACCAAGACCTGCATACCCAGTGACTACATTTCCTTCCATCCTTTGTCAGACCCCAGCCTTACCAGCGCTTGGAGATTTTGCTATAAGCAATCTGGGCAGACACATTCCCAGAATGATCATGGTTTCCAGCCACAACATACCAGGGCAATTTACGCAGTGAGGGTGCTTGGAAAACTGATTCAAAGGTTTCCTATAAAGAAACAAGAAACGTTTATTTGTGGGGAAGAGGAAGAAATATTTTCTGCACAGTATCAGCTGCTGGTAAAAGTGTCAAGAGTTTTCCAGCGATCACAAAAATTAGCAACTATTCCTTTTACAATAGGTGGCTTCCGACAAGCAAAGTCAAAGGGGGAAGCCAGATTCAATTAACAACTACATAATTCACTTAACAACTTTATGATTCATTTAACAACTTCATGATTCACTTAACAACTGTGGCAAAAAGGTCACAAAATAGGACACAATTCACTTAACTGTCTTGCTTAGCATTGAAAATTTTGGGCTTAATTGTGGTTGTAAGTAGAGGACTACCTGTAGTAGGTTGGGGACATCAACTTAAAATGTCTGGGTACTTATTATTACCTTTGTAACTTTACAGACTGACAGCTCCACTCCATCACACCCCTAGGAAAAACTAGGGTGCCTCTGCATTTGGACCTAGGTGGAATCATGGAATCAACCTTTTTCTTCTGAGGTTTAATGAAGGGGAAGCATCTTGCCTTTTTAAGAGGGGCATCATTGCCTACAAATTCCTGCAAGGGGTCCGTCCAGTTCTGATGGAAGGGAGGATTTGTCAGAGGCCCAAAACTGGATTCTTCCAAAACAGGAATCTGCTTCAGTTATTGATTGCCCCCCTCCACTCTCTTTGGGATGTTCAGTTGCAATCTGATGATGTATCAGAGATAATTCCACCCTTCCACTCGAAAGGGAGCCCTGCCCAGCCAAGTGATTAAAAGCTGCCTAATCCCTGGAGAAGCCTCTCTTGGAGGCTAGAAGCTGAACTCTCCCTCCCTGCCAAACAGCCAGACTGTTCCTATATAAGGGGCCCTGTTTCCTAAGAGAAACTTATTCCCAAATAAGGTTTTGTCCTCTGAGGGTAGAAGCTGCACGTTTGTAAATAGTTGAAGAAGAAAATCCCAGAAAGGTTCCCTGGTCACCCTTCTTCCTACAGGGGGAGGGGGAGGAATACGTTTACCCAATGTGCAGCAGTACAGGTATACCTTGTTTTATTGCACTTCAGTTTGTTGTGCTATGTGAATAATGTGGTTTTTTTACAAGACCCTCCATCAGCAAAAAGATTATGACTCGCTGAAGGCTCAGATGATGATTAGCATTTCAGCAATAAAGTATTTTTTAATTAAGGTATGTACTTTGGGTTTCTTTAGACATAATGCTACTGCATACTTAATATATTACAGTATAGCGTAAACATAACTTTTATAGGCACTGGGAAACTAAAAATGTGTGTGAAGTGCTTTATTGCGAAATTTACTTTATTGAGGTGATCTGGAACCAAAAGCGCAATATCTCTGAAGTATATAGTTTTTTTCTACTGTTATCATTCTCAATGTAATGATTGAGCAAATTTTTCTCCTAGATACAAGTTTCTACAGAGATAATTTATATAATTTGGTTATTTGTGGCTACAGACAGAAGCATCAACAACTCTTTTTCCTATACCAGAGGAAGGTACATTGCAGTGAGTTTTCCTCATTGTTCAAGCCCATCCCTTGTTCTTTTGATTCCATTCTTCTCACATTTGCAATGTTTCTGTTCTCTGAACACAGGAAACAAACACTTCATCCTAAGGTTCTGAAACCTTTCATTTTTTTATCATTTCCATTTCTTCACTTCCTCTATCATTTTTACATGAACAGTTTGCTTTTTCTATTGATCTGGAAAGATGTAATCTATTTAAATGTGCATTTCCCAAATTTTAGGATTTTGACCATGTAGGCTCCTTCAATTGAATAAGTAACCCCCCCCCCTCTTATCTGTGTCTTCCCCTTCTCACTAATCCTCCCATGTAAACTTTTGTAACATCTTGCTTGGTGAAGACATCTGGAGGTCTTGAATGCTTGACAACCCACTGACTGATGCAATTTAAATTGAGTTGGGATGAGACTGCTTCCCTGTCATTCATATGCTTCAGTTGATTAACCTTTAGCCAAACATTGCATATTGTCTGCAAGAGTTCAGTAGTATGTATAACTCTGAACTTCAAGGTGAACCTAGCAGCAGGATCTCCCACCTCATTCTGCTTCCTAATTCCCTATCTCTGCTGAAGGGAAGATATCATGATGCCTTACTAACTAACATTTCAGTCATCTTTTGTGTTGCTACTCCCACTAAGTAGATAACTTCATTTTAATTTACCATGGAATTAAAGGCCAGCATAAACATGGGCTGGAACACTGTCTGCATACCAATTATGGTGCTTATTTAACACCAAAGTGAACACTGGTTGACTGATGAGGAGAACTCAGCAGTAATGGCAAGCACATTTGTAGGGTGGAATGATGATGCTTCAGTGAGCAAAAATGATGCCTGCATAGACATCCTAATTGTCAGACAATAGTTTATGGAGTAAGCTATCAAAGACTTCCTTGAACATTTTGCTTCATTTTCTAATTTCTGTCTTCACTTGTGTATGGGTGTGAGCAACAACTCTTTATGAGCTACAACTCAACCCTGTGGTCCTGATCCTTTGCATCTGACATATACTCCACATAATAGTGGAGAAATATCTACATAGGGCTAGCCGAATGCTCAATATTAGCTCAAAAGAGGAGGACCTTGTAGAATGCTCAGCTAGATGCATATTGCACACGAACCAGAGATTATAGCTAAGAAACTAAGAAATGTTGTTAGCGACATGGTTAGCATAAAAATGATCTTACTACATTTTAAAAATAAACTACTAAATACTTGCATTTGAAATTGTATAACACTAATGCACTACATCTGAGAAATGAGTTTTAATTTCATCTAAGACCATCATTCAGAGAGTCCTGATGGTGTTTTCATGCTCCTCACCTGAAAACGCTTGTCATACATATTGGTCACCCCATTGTAATAAAAGTTGTCTCCAAGAGATAAGATGAAATCAGCTCCCAGTGAAGCAACAGTTCGCCCCATCTCTTTGGCCACGGCTACTTCACGAGCCGTGTAGAAAGGTGCATTGGGGAGTCCACCCCAATCTCCAACTGCAATGAAGCGTAGGGAGGAACCAGCCTCAAGGCTTGGAAGGACAGCCAGGAAAACCCCCAAGAGGTACAAGAAGCTCATCCTCTGAAAATGAGAGAAAAGATGAAACCATATTATGTATTTGTATGCTCACAGACACACACATACAAAGGGTAGGAGAAGGAATCCCAGAACGTATCTGGAAAGTCCAGCCAAGTTCTGGTTCCTACCTCTAGCTTTATTATTGGTTAGAGTTATGCCTTTCCTTTCCTCTAGTTCAGGGGTGTCAAACTCAATTTCATTGAGGGCTGCATCAGCATTGCGGTTGCCCTCGGGGGGGCGGGGGTGTGTGGCCAGGGTGGGTGCGGACTACTGGGTGGGTGTGGATGGAGTGGGTGTGGTTTATTGGGTGGGCATGGCCAGCTCTACATTGTTCGTGTCAAGGGTGCCTGTGGGGGCCTGGGCAGGAGTGGGATAGATCTGAGGGTCTCTGGCAGAAGGGGGTGGGACCAGGGCCAAGGCATGGTCCACTGGAGGAGCCTCACCGTTCCTCTCAGGCCATGTGGGGGGATTGGATGGTGGTGCGGGCTGCCCGGAACACTGGGCAGCAGAGGTCAAACGCCCAGCCTTGTCCTCGAGCACCCGCGGCACCAAGCCCAGCCCCACTTCCCCAAGGGGGCACCCAGCTGCACTTACCTCCTCCTCAAGGCTGCTGCTGCTGTGCTTGCTCTCCTTAGCCAGGTTGCTCATGATGGGTACGAGGGCAAAGTCAGAGGGAGGCCCATTCCTTCTCCATGGGAGGAGACCCAGCTTTGTATCTAAAGCTTCCTTAGCAATAGGATGGGAGACCCCCGGGATAGGCCAGGAGGAGGGGGCAAGGGGATGGTGAAAGGGCAGCAGGGCAGGACTAAGGCAGGACTTCCCTCAGACCCTCCCTCCTTCTCTTTCCTTCCTTCCTTCCTTCCTTCCTTCCTTCCTTCCTTCCTTCCTTCGAACAGAGTGGTGGGAAAATATTTGAGATGAGGGAGGGAGAAAGACATGCAAGAAACGCAGCAGGCTGGGGGCTGGATGGCATTGCACAGCTAACGTCGACTTTCACGTTGCTCATGGTGTCCCCTCCCCCAGAGCCCATCAAGCCAGATATGTGAAGTAGGTGAGGGCCATGTGCTGGCCACTTCCAGGCGATGGTGCATTTCTTCATTCCTCACAAAGGGTGACACCTCCCCAGCTGCCTTTCTTGCCTGTTTTTCTCCCTCCCTCATCTCAAATATTTTCCCATCACTCTGTTCTTAGGAAGGAAGGAAGGAAGGAAGGAAGGAAGGAAGGAAGGAAGGAAGGAAGGAAGGAAGGAAGGAAGGAAGGAGAGGGAGGGTCTGAGGGAGGTCCACAAAAAAAAATATAGAACAGATGGCCTTGTGGAGCTAAGACTGAATGCGTTTCAGCATAGATGGCCACCACAAAATTGTACATTGGCTCCCGGGTGGCCTGGGCCGGGGCCGGGGCCAGGGGCCGGGGCCAAGGGGCCGGGGCCAAGGCAGCGGAGGCCATTCCCACATGAAAGCACATCGCGGGCTGCATCCGGCCCCCGGGCCTTGTGTTTGACATGTCTGCTCTAGTTGCTCAAGAGAAGGAGCCTGAAGCTAATCCTGCCCTCTCTAGTCTAGAGGTCACTTGACTGGGATTCCAATGGCCAGCATGGTGACATCATTTATACTGGAGCATCCAAACATTCAACAGCACTGCAGTTTTTCAGACATTATGAGATAAAAATCACAGCAGTATCAGCCTGCTCTTTTTGTTCAGTTTTATACAGAAGCCTAGCTGGACTAGTGGTTGATTTCCCCCCCCCCCCTCCAATAATCCTGAGAGGAAAGCATTCACCCGCTTTATGTTCTAACACGGTGCTACTCACTCCTCAGCACCTGCTACATTGTGATCAATGTAAGATATACTTTAGCTAAAAGTATATCTTTTAGAATAGTAATGATGCTAGGAATTCCTTATGCATTTAATCACTCACTGGTTCTTTTCTACCAGTCCTGATAAGCTTTCATGTGGCAATCACAATGGGAATTAGTCTCACTGAAGTAGTGGCTTTACTGCTGAAGAGAAGTAAGTTGTTTTAGATAAATTAAATACATTATCTCAGTGCATCTTGCTCATTTTGTATATTTTTCAGTGACTCTGACTTATTCAAAAGTATTACCTTGATTGACCAAAGCCATCAGTTGTGACTGAGGTCAGCATCTATTGACCTAGCTGGTGATGACCATATTTTAGTTCATTTTATATGTCTATGGAGATTCTCAGTCATCCAGGTTATAGTTATCCTAAAGGTGCTTTTTCATGAGGCAACTGGACTTTCTTCTTTTTCCTTGAAGATATTTTGCTTCTCATCCAAGAACCTTCTTCAGCTCTTCTTCAGAACTGAAGAAGCTTCTTGGATGAGAAGCAAAATGTCTTCAAAGAAAAAGAAGAAAGTCCAGTTGCCTAGTGAAAAAGCATCCTTGGGATTTGTTTTATATGCTTTTTTTATATGTTTAGAATTCTACTTTTGTTCTTTTTTTTGTAGAATTTAAAATTATTGTAAGTCACCTAGAGTTATGCATTTAATGGGTGGCTATATGCATCAAAATAATAAATACAATATCAAAAAATTGCAACTTGAATGTCACGTAAAAATGATAAAATCATGAATTAAATAGAAAAAGATATAGTGAATGGTGGTACATTAAATTCCATTTTCCTGCCATGAGACAGGTAGACAAGCAAAACTGCCCAATATTGGAAAGGTACCTCGTTCAGACCATCTTAGTGATTAAACTCAAAATGAAAATTCTAAAGTACAATTTATTTTACTAGATATAATTCCAGAACATATAAATAGCAAATGTCATAATTTATTAAGATAATTTTATTAAGATTACTGCTATGAGGACAAACTTTGCATACTAAAAATGCTAACCTTTTTTCTGTTTTAATACTTATAGTAATATAGAAGAGATATTAGTGTTAATTTCAAAAAATTGCCTATTTTTTCTTTTAACTTATATCTTCTATATCTTATATTTTCTATATCATATTTTTTCTGTCTTATATTGTATTTTGTTTGGCATGCTTCATCTTTTATTAATTGAGCATTAATTGTATAACTATTCTATTTTGTATTTATTGTTGATATTGTTTTGAAAATACACCTTCTTTTAAATAAAAATAAATTAGTTAAAAAACCCCTAAAGCACTATATTAGTACAAATGTCAATCTTCGCTTTCCTGCTTTAAAACTGTTAAGAAATCAGTTCTATCCACAATGTTTCATTAATGTGTTTTTAACTATAGTTCTCAATGAGCATATTCAAAAAGTCTAATCCCGTAAGATTGCAAGTAGCTTATGCCATTGGAAAAGATTTCTTGGGAAAGGAAGAAGAGGAACTGCCTGGAGAGGCAGCCTCCATCAGTGGTCTTTTGAGCAACTCATATGCATTTCATTTGGACTTATGCAAGACAGGATCACTCTAATGACCTATCTTTCTAGTTATCAACCTATTCTCTTCCAAATTCTTCTGTGGCTTTCTTTTCTTTAACCTTTAAGATCCCCTATGTCAGTGGTTCTCAACCTTTTTAATGCCGCGACCCCAACCGTTCATAAGTCGAGGACTAAACCGTTCATAAGTCGAGGACTAAACCGGTTGTAAGTCGAGGACTTTCTCTGCCTGGGAGCGCCGCGCATGCGTGGTTCTGCCCCCTGCGCCGACCGAGGCGTAGCTGGCAAGCGGCAGAGACGGAGCAGGCCGACCACCAGCTGGCCCAGCCCAAGGGAGGTAAGGCACCCGCTGGAAAAGGGAAAAAAAATGGTGGACAAAAAAATGGCGGACAGCCTTGCTTGGCGACCCCCGTGAAATGGTCGATTGACCCCAAATGGGGTCCTGACCCACAGGTTGAGAACCACTGCCCTATGTAATCCCCTGTCCAAATATATAACATTAAAAAAAGACTTAACGTAAGATGATTTTCCTACTTGGAAAAAGCTGAATTATTATCTTCCAGATTGTTTTGCATGCAGTATTTCTCATTATTAATAATTGTAAATCTGCCTTTGGCTGATCACTGTAAATATGCTCTAGCAAAATCCTAATGAACAAAACCGAATGTCAGTAATATATTATTACAATAATAAATCAACCAAATAATAAAACCAAATAAATAAGCCCCAAGACTTTCAGAGTAGGACATGATTTTCCTCTCATTGCTCACATTAACAAAGAATTAAAGAATAGATGGCATAATCCAACTATTTTGTCTTATTCCAGGGGCTATAGCAATCCATATGAGAAGTTTTATTGCTACAGTACTTAAGATACTCTTGAATAAATAAGATTGTTACCGCTCCCTTTTAAACTTAAATTTGGTTATCCTTAGCAATATTTCATTTTAAGATGATGAGCCATCCGAGAAAATGGTATTGGTTCAAACTGGACGATCTCTACGTCTCATCTGCACAGAGGGCAACTGCAAATGGGAACCCCATTCGTTTCCATTGCCCCGTATTCATTCACTGGAGAGCGTTTGGAAGGCCTTGAATGAGAGAGAAGATGGACAGACCCAGCAAAGTAATTGCCTTTTTGGCTGGTTTGCCGTTTGTTTTTCAGAACTCATGTTGGTATAAAATTAAATTTGGTTTTGCGCTTCCTCTTTCGTGTGATCTAATGTCTCCCTGCCGCTGTTATTTAGCCACGCTGGCATCCCCACTATCCATGGGTCTTTTCCAGTTAGGAGCCACCCATCCAGTCCAGAGGACGTTGCCTCCAGCCACCTGTTACGGAGGCAGTGTTCCCCTCTGGATGCCCGCAAAGCCGCCCTCCTTACGTCTGTCAGTTTTCTCGGCCGACGCGCCAGTCCAGGGGTCCTCTCAGCGCCGCTCGTTCCGGGATGTATCGTCCATGCCAGATCTACTGAAGCGACTCACACTGGGCAGGGGAGCATTTTATCAGGTGCTGGAAAGGGGAACTAGGGGTGGGGTGGACAGATCCCTCCGCCCCCCCCCCACTCAAGGAAGTAGCGGCAAGGCAGAAAAGCTGAGTGTAGCGGAGGAACAAACCCCC